CAAATGCTCCATTATCACCTATTAAAAAAATCAATTATATAATCAAACATATTTAAAATGTTATTTTATTAATTTAGAATTTTACCTGCAAGGAAATTATACATTGCCAGCATTGAGGAATGAAAATGTGCAAACATGTTTGTGTTTCCATTAGGTTGTTGTACCATAATTGAATTCTGGTTATATGAATTGTTGCTTTCAAAATATGTAAAATATTTAGAAGCAAGATTCCAAGGACTATTGGGATCATTATCAATGAAATTAGGTATGTCAAGTGTATAATCCTCCTGGATTGGTTTCAATAAAATGTAGAATGCATGTGAAAAGCCTAAAATGGTTATAAATAGTATCATTAAAAATGAAAAAACTTTTCCAAAAATTCCTAAAATGATTGCAAAATGTCTTCCTAAGGATTTAAATGCTCTTAAAAACAGCATAAATTTCAGATCTAATAACAAATTGGATAATGAAACCAGCACAGTAGTTGATGAACCATAATACAACAATAGAATTGAAGTAACAATTGGCAAGAAATATGCCACAAGGTCTATTAAATAAATAATAATCATTGTTAAATTATCAAATTTAATTAATTAGCTAATAATAATAATATCATACCAAAATAATTCCATAAATCAGTGATATATTTCATTGGGTTCCAAATAAATTGTCTCAATTCAAAATTAAGATGAAACAACCCAATGATGATTGTAGTAATTAATAATGAATTTCTATTTTTATCAGATAATTGAAGTGAAGTAGAGGTTGCAATTGCAAAGCTTAATAAAAATGTTGTATAAAAGATCCAAATTCCCAAGTGATAATTGAATCCAAAATTATTCCACTTGTGATTCAAGATTACTTTCCCATTCCGATAATTATATAATTCTAAAATTTCTAATTCACTAAATTTACTATTTGCTGGCTTATACAATAATTCTTTCCAAAATGAATATTCATTGTTGTATGTAAGTAATCCAGGATATGGAATTACCAATTTTACACATGGTTTTCCAGGTTTGTCATCTAATTTTTTATTTATATAATCCTTAATTCCTTTATAGTATTTTCTAATATAATTATGATTATAATAAAAATCCCAAAAGCTTTTTTCTTTATAAATTGATTTTTCAATATCCATAGCATTATAAAAAGTATCAATACTGTAAGAATTTTCAAATGGAAATAATATCATTGAAGTCTGACTAAAGAATTTTGATATTAAAGTATAATGATTTTTTTCTAATCTTGGTAATTCTAATATAATTATTTTTAATAAACTAATATTTAAGTCAGCATCTTTTATAAAATGACCAAGACAAGAGTCAAATACTTTTTCTACCAGAATACTATTATTTTTATCTAATCTTATCTTTAATAATTTCTTTCCAAATTTGTTGAAATAATAAAACTCATTGAGCATACTATCTAACATTTCTTTTAAAAGGTTGTCTAGAAATTTGATGCTTATCAATATATGAGTCATTAATATTATCAAAGTAACAGTTGAAATCAAATAAATAATTTTCAATGTTGTTATTTTTAATAGCTTCTTTAACCATACTTTTGATGTAAATATTTTG